AGAGGTAATATTTTGGGTTGAATTGAATCTGAGGTTGAACCACACTAAAATCGAAAGGGATGATGATATCAACTCCAAGTTTACAAAATTTTTTTAGAATACAATTGAAGTATTTGAAAATGGTCTTCCACGTATACTAAAACCTTTCAACTACTATGTGATTTTCGCTTCTTATGTGATATCATTAGTAAAAATATAGCAATTTACTCTTGCACATATACATATTTGGAGTGTTTCAACCCTTTTTTTTTTTTTTTTAAATTCCTCACAAAACAACATGAACATGAGTGGATCTATTCTAAATTGCTCATAACACCTATTTTCATGTCCATGTAGTAGCTCCAACACGTAATCATAGCATCTAAGAGCAAACAAGCTACATGGTTAGTGATGAATTTTGTCTATCTACTTCTATTGCAGTCAATACCATAGACATCTCATCATCACTATCTCATATCATATCTAGAGTCGGCCCAATAACTAGGCTGAAAAAGCGATCGCTTTAGGCCCCATTTTTTATAAGTCTTCAATATGATCCAAACCAAAAAATTAAACTCAAATAAAATTGAATCCAAACAAAAAGATCCAAGGTAGTTCAAACTAACAAAAAGATTTCTAACAAAATTGGGCCTAAAAGCCCAAAAGTGTTTGTGGCATAACAAAACTAAAAAGTTCACAACCTATTTGGTTAAAAACATGAAATTTAAAAAAAAAAACAGAAAAAGTTATCTAAGTGTCACATGCAAAAATGAAAAAGTCAATAATCAATACCATTAATTACTCTTTCTAATTGGTCAATTACATCAATCAAACACACTCTCTTTCTTATGTCTCTCTTGTTAAAACATCAACCCCCCACCCCCTCTCTCTCTCTCTCTCACACACACACAAAATTAATATTTATTTCCATCTAAAAACAATATAAAGGATTCTCTCCCCCATTTAGCTTGTGACCGTCTTTCTAATTCACACAACAAATGTCATCAAATCAAGCCCGAGATATTATTTTATATTTGCACTTTCTCTTTTGCAATGTTATTTTGTACAAAATATAGTTTCAATCAACTTATTCTATTTGTATTATTTTTTTATATATGATATTAAAGGAGAATCACATTACAATATCCTAAGTTTTAGGAACATTAACGATAAAATTAAGTGTTATTATTTTATAATTTTAATTTTTATTAAGTTTTTTCGTATAGAGAGTATTTGATTGATTTATAAATAAAAAAATTGGATTATCAAAAAACCGTGGCTACTAAAAAATAACAATTCAGATATGAAAAACTTAAAAAAAAAAAAAGAGAGAGAAAAATAGCAAAACTTATTGAATCACAAAAAAAAAAAAAAGATCTCTTAATAAATTTATTATTAGTAATAAAAAAATAACAAAAGATTTAAGTGAAAGTTTTGAAATAAACAACTGATAGATCTTAAATAATTAGAAGATATTGAAATTGTATGATGAAAAAATAACAAATAAAATTTTATAATGATGGTGGAAAATGTAATATAATAATTATTGATCATGAAGAACATACAAAAACATTATTAGTAATTTTGAATTATAAAAAATAAAATTAATAATAAAAAATTAAAACAAAAAACCTTGTTTAGAATCCTTTCTTTAGGCCCCAAAACAACTCGAGGCTCTTGAGCATATCAAGTTCATCTGAATTCATTATTGAAAATACAGACTACTTGTAACATATAATATCCTAAGTAATGCAAATACCAGGCAACTAACAAATAAAATAATCATGGACATTGATGGGCCTGACCCAGATCAGGCCCAACTCAAATAATGGATCGACCAGACAAGGCTCAGTAATTCTAGCCCAGAAGCGACCCAGACCTAGTCAGGCTCACCAAGAACCTAGTCAACCACGCCATCCGGGTGCCACACCATCCTGAAGTGAGGAAGATAGCCACGCTATCCTAAAACCTGGTCTTGAGGAGATCTCCACGCCCTCTCTGCAACTGCCTCATCTGTTGTGAGGATGGTGCCAACTCCACCAAATCTGTCTTTCTGTTACTGATAAGACGCATCAATCTGTTAGAAGGCGCCTATAAATTGTAAGTCCTGCCTACACATAGGGGGCATCTCTCATATCTTGTATCTGACATCCTATCTCACACCTGATTCGCCTAAGCTCTCATTGCTCTTAGCTAAGCTCTCCACACTCCTAAAGCAATAAAAAACCCCGACAACCAAAGCTCTTCAAAGTGGAGTAGGTCACCCTGACCGAACCACTCTATATTTGTGTGTTGCTTGTGTTGATCTTATCTTTATATTTACTGCATTTTATTATTTATATTAATTATTCGACAAGTAGTGCATAAAATTGATTTGTGCTTCATCAGTTTGGCGCCATCTGTGAGAACGACAAAGTTTTCACCCAACCATCCTTTTGTATCTATGGCAATCACCACCAGATCCATGAATCAGCTAGAGGATGGTCCACCACATTGCCAAGAGGTCTTGCCTCCACTAGCAAACCCTGTCGTTGCGGGAAATCCTATAGCCGGACAACAACTAATGGACACAATATAGCTGTTGGTGAACCAAAACCAACAGATCCTCTAGTTGATGCTCGTCAGGCACCCTCAAGGAGTTGTGCCCTAGCCCCCAAGAGGAGAAGCACCCCAGGCAATTCCCCTAGGGCTCCAAGGCGCCCTTCAGCAAGGCCCCTAGTGTTAGGGCACCCAACATCGGGGTGCCCCCTTGCAGGGCTAGCACTAGGGCATCTCTCCTCAGCGTCCAAGTGTCCTGGCTCCTCCTCCTTATGTGCCAGCTCCATAATCCTGCACTAGTGACCCCCCTATGCAAGAAGGTGAGGAGAAAAACCAGTACATAGACCATGAAAGCCACTACAACGGTCCTTCATAGGGTTTCCCCAACCAATGAGACAAAAAAATCAAGGAGGTGCAAAATCAACTAGGCTACGTGTTCAACGCCCTTAAGGCGCGAGGACATAGAAATGATCGAGTACCTAGTGAGGCCTACTGACACGCCCTTTGTGACTGATGTAGCCAACTACTCTCTTCCTATAAAGTTCAAGATGCCAACTGTGTAAGCTTTTGATGGTTCCAAAGGCCCATTGGACCACTTTGACACCTACAAATCCCTGACGCAGCTGTACAACGTACCAGATGAGATCAAATGCAGGGCTTTTCGTACCACTCTCAAGGGACCTGCTCGCCAGTGGTTTGCCAAACTTACCCCGGCCTCCATAGGCACTTTTGCTGAACTGAGTAGGTCTTCGTCTCACATTTCATCGAAGGACGATGACACCAAAAGACTGTCACCCCCCTGCTCAGCATTAAACAGGAGGGGGATGAAAGCTTGAGGAGTTACCTCACTCGTTTTAATGAGGAGGTCCTTCGAATTGAGGAACCCGATGACAAGGTCACCATAACCGCTTCCATGGGAGACCTACACTCATCTAGCTTTCTCTTCTCAATGATGAAGCATCCACCAAAAAGCATGTCAAAATTGTGGGCAAAAGCTCAAAAATATATAAACGCCAAGGACGTCACCAAAGCCAGGCAAGGTGAGTCCTCACCATCATTATCACCACCTAAGCCCGATTCCTCAAAAAGAAGCCACAAAGGCGCAAACATTAATAGATTTTGTGATTGAGCTCAAACCATTTGAGGAGATAGAGTGTCTAGAAGACTTAGTGCCTAGCGCCAAGGGTCCCTACTCTTGCCCAAGTACCCAGTTCCTCAATGCACTCCTTGTCTCCATCTACTGGAGTGAGCCTCCGGCTTGGTGGCCCTCCCATGGGCTAACCCTCAAACTCTGCCTTTACTTTCATGCGGGCAGCGTCATAGTTGGCTCCAGCTTAGCGACTTTGTCACAGGTCACCAAAAATTCAGTCTTAAGAGGTGCAGCTCTCTTATGAGCAACCATCAAATTTTGCCTCTACTTTCATGCGGGCATCCTCACAATCAACCTACCTCTAGTTTAGCGACTCTCTCACAGCTCGCCAAAAGCTCTATCTAAAAGAGTGCAGCTCTCTCATGAGTGACCCTTAAATTCTATCTCTACTCTCAAGTAGGCACCTCACAATCAGCCTACCTCAAGCTAATCAACTCTCTCACAGGTCGTCAAAAGTTAAACAGCTCTCTCACGAGCAACACTCAAATTCTGTCTTTGTTCTCATGCAGGAAGCCTCATAGTCAGCCTACCTCCAACTAAGATACTCTCTCACGAGTCTCCAAAAGCTCGGTCTCAAGAGATGCAGCACTCTCACAAGCAACCCTCGAATTCTGTCTCTGCTCTCATGCGAGTAGCCTCACAATCAGCCTACCTCCAACTTAGCGACTCTCTCATGGGTCGCCAAAAGCTCGATTTCAAAAGATGCACTCTCTTGAGCAACTCTCAAATGCTGCCTCTGCTTTCATGTGGGCAACTTTACAGTTAGCCTACCTCCAACTTAGCAATTCTCTCACGGGGTAGCCAAAAGCTCAGTCTAAAGAGGTGTAGCTCTCTAATGAGCAGCCCTCAAACTCTGTCTTTGATCTCATGCAAGTAACCTCTATTTCTCTATGGCCTGATGTGTTTACCTCTCTCTCCAGGTAATCATGTTGGATATTTTGCTATTGGAGTAACATTATTTTTGTCATTTCTAAACACGCTCTTGAAACTCAGGCTGTTTGCAACCTGCAGAACTACATTAGATTGAATGTCAAGAATCGGGGTCTCATCCTTTTTTCGGCCATCCAGCATCACTGCCTTATTGCCATAACGGTCCCGTGCTTAACACCTAGCACACACAAGGTCTGCTTGTGCTCCCAACACTAAGGATTTAGCACCTGCTCCTGGGTGCTAGTTTCCCTGCTCATAGCACCCAACCTCTTGGTGCCCCTTCTAAATGCCTTACTTCTAGCGCCCCCACTTAGTGCCCAGCTCCTAGCGCCCTGCCTCCAAGCGCCCTTTCTGGAGCCTAACTCCTGGCACCCAGCTCTTGTGCCTGTTCTTATACCTACACTCGCCTAGCTTCTGCACCCTTGCCTGTGCCCACGCTCTCGGCACCCTCGCTGACCAACGCCAACCATAGCACTCCTGCGTCCGCTGCGCCAGCACCCGTTAAATCCTTGTGGCCCATAACACTCACTCCTGCTGCCACCCTGGCTTCCACCACCTTAGTGCCTGCGCCCTCGCCCGCTTCGACACCCATGTCCGCTGCCACTGCCATGATGTAAATGCCTGCTTTGCTCGTGTCTGCTTCACTTACACCACCTCTTCCGTCCATCACTTTTCAGTTTAATCCTCTCAAGGAATGAAATGGAACAAGGGGAAAAGATAAGGGACCTATTTTGAGAGTTACTTGGTTGGATTGGCATTCAAGTATCCTAATTGGAGGAGGACTGCCATTAAGGAGCTCCCATTCACTTTGATAGTTATCTAATTGGATTGGCATCCAAGTATACTAATTAGAGTAGGATTGACCTTGAGAAGCTCCCATGAGGATTAATCATATGAAAAAGGAAAAGATAAACCTCAAGAGAAAATTTAAAAAAGAGTCCTCACCAAGCAAAGGAGTTCAGCTGCAGTTGGATAAACTAATACCTCTCTCCCCAAAATCATTGATCTTGGGGAATGGGGGCAAATGATGGGCCTGGCCCAAGGCCCAACTTGGATAATGAGCCTGACCCAGATTAAGCCCAACTTAGATAATGGGCTCGACCTAAACAAGGCTTAGTGGGTCTGGCCTCGAAAAGACCCGAACCTAGCTAGGCTCGCCAAGAACCCAGTCAACCACGCCATCATGAGGCCAAATCATCCTGGAACCATGCCATCCTGAAGTGAGGAAGTTAGCCACGCCATCCTAAGACCTGGTCTTGAGAAGATCTCCACGCCCTCTCTACAACTGCCTCATCTATTATGAGGATGGAGCCAACTTCACCAAATCAGCCTTTCTGTTACTGATAAGATTTCTTAATCTGTTAGGAGATGCTTATAAATTATAAGTCACATCTACACATAGGGGGCATCTCTCACATCTTGTTTCTGGCATGTTATCTCACACCTGATTCACTTGAGCTCTCCACACTCCTACAATAATAAAACACCTTGACAACCAAAGCTCTTCAAAGTGGAGTAGGTCATCATGACCAAACTACTCTATATCTGTGTGTTGCTTGTGTTGATCTTATATTTATATTTACTGTATTTTCTTATCTATATTAATTACTTGACAGGTGGTGCATAAAATCGATTTGTGCATCATTAGACATAATAACTAAAAATAGTATATACACATAAATCCCAATGTACACATCCCAAAGTACTTAGTCTAAAGAAGCGATCATAAAAGTGCATATCCAAACCATTAAAAAATGCATCCCAACCATAAAAGAACACATCCTAACCATAGAAGTATATGTCACTTGTGAGTCTAATCTCCTATGCCATAAAGTGGAAAATTTTCATTCAAAATACCATGTTTCAATCCACAATTTTTTTTATCATGCAGGGGTAACAAAGATGTTTCAAAATGATGTATCTTGGCATAATTTAAATAAACCATCCTCGAAAATATCAATACCAACAACAACATCATCCAAGTGCAAAATAACAAACAAATGTCCAAACTTAACATGATAACCACAAGTGACAAGCCTTGGTACTGATAAAAGGTTTCTAAAAAAGTTAGGAACATTGAAATTGTCATGTAAATATAAGAAGTGACCAGTCTTTAAAACAAGTTTGGACGTCCCAACAAGTTCCACACATGACCGCATCTTATTTCCCATAATGATGCATCATCGTTCACTTTCTATTTGGGTCCTTTTGTTCAGCAATTCGTGCATGGTTTTACACATGTGGACAATTGCACCAAAGTCAATCTATCATGTGTTATGAGGTACATTTATGAAATTTGATTCATAACACACTAGAGAAAGAGATGTGCATTTCTTCTCCACCCATTTCTTACTCTTGATGCAGTCTTCCTTTGCATGCCCCTTTTTCTTGCAAAAGAAACACTTGAAATCCTTTGTGTTTGCCAATTTGGCTGACATCTTCATGTTCTTCTTCTTTATCAAAATATGGTAGCTGTTAGTACATGTTTCCACCTATATTTTCCCTTAATAAGAGGTCAAATGGACACTTTCTTGCCTCCTTTTACTTCAGTCTATGTTCTTCATCAACACACATGGTAAGAAGTTGATTCATAGACCATTTATCCTTATGTGTGGTGTAAGAGATCTTAAAATGGTGTATACTCCAACGGTAGAGTATTAAGTACAAAGTGGGCAAGAAATATCTCAGACATATCAACTTCCAATGATTTGAGTTGTGCAGAAATGCATACTCCAACGGTAGAGTAATTCCATAATGTTCTCGCATATGTCACTATGAACTTTATACTTCAAAGAAGCAAACTTTGATATCAGGGTGCTAGCAAGTGCTTTTTTAGAGCTCACAAATTACTCCTCAACTGCAGTCATGAATTCTTTAGCACTTTTGGAGTTCAGAATGGAGACCCTGATTTTTTTTGAGATATGACTTTGCATGAGTAAGAGGCTAAGGCAGTTAGACCTCTTTCATTTCTTATGCATCTTTTTTTTCCTCAGGCGTATTTGATTTTGTAGGGATAGGTGTCCTATCCTCACGAAGCGTTGTGTCAATCTCCATGCACCCCAAATTAAATATTATTCTATCCTTCCATTGCAAGAAATTTGAACCATTCACCAAAGGGATATGAGATACAGAATGAGACATAAGATTAGGAAGTAAAACTACAAAATAAACATTACATACTTACAATCAATATGCATGCTAATAATCACGCTTAGACTTTATCTAAATTGCTAACTCATATTAGTAATTTTAGTGGTAAATCACTTTATACGACATATCTTGATTTATCCATCTCACGATAAAACTAATGGCATGGAGCATCATATAAAAGTAGAACTCAAAACCTTTGGGTAACAAGAATTCAACTTAGTCACAATACCTCAAACCATTCTTTCACTCCACCGTTCAATATTATATAATAAGTTCTCCTTGGAGTAAACCTATTATTTAATATGGTGTAAGTGTTCAATGTCATGAATAACAATCAATATAAATTATTTTATTGAAAAATTTCCTTATACTTTAAAATTATGAGATGCTTTGGCTCGTCACCATAGAATTAAAATAAATACAACTTTATCATAACATAAGTTATATATAGATGCTTTGGTTCGTCATTATATATAAAATATTTCGAATCATGACATATGAACAAATAAAATTTACCCATATGAATCAAGTGATTAAACAATTAATTATGGCCAAAAACTAGACTCGGATAAACTTGTATGACCAAATCATCATCAAACAGTGTCTAGCAATGTTATTTCGTCATTAAACAATGACTAATACTAGGATATAAGACACATCCACTTTAAACAAACGAATTGTTGACTTTTCAATGTCTACACGTAGAACACATCAATTTCTGTTTGCCCTTAAATAGCACCATTTGTATTCCAAGATGTGTACATGTAGAAACCTTTCCGCATATAAATTTGTACATAGATATAGATAAGCTGTAAATGGATCAAAATTTTAGATGGTGAATTAAGAATTTCATTCTGTTAAAGTTCACTATTTTTAAAGTTCATTGATTATGTTTTTTCCAATATTTTTTGAGTTTATTGTTCGATATGTATTTTTCAGTTCAAAATTTTCAATAATTTTGTAGTTCACTTTTTATGAAAATTTTGGATATCGAACTAGAAGTTTAATTCCATTAAAGTTCACTTAAAAAAAAATTGATATAGAAGTTTCATTCTAATAAAGTTTACTGCTTTTAGAGTTCAATGTTTATATATTTTTTAATATTTTTTGAGTTCACTATTTTTTATATATATTTCTTAATTTAAATTTTCAATATTTTGGTAGTTCACTATTTGTGAAAATTATATTAAAGTTCACTATTTTTGAAAATTTTTTGAAATAAGAATTTTATTCTAGTAAAGTTCAATGTTTTTGGAATTTTTCAATATTTTTTGAGTTCACTATTTTTTTTATAAATTTCTCAATTCAAATTCTCAATATTTTTGTATTTTATTGTTTGTGAAAGTTTTGGACAGTGAACTAGGAGCTTCATTCTATTAAAGTTAACTGCTTTTAAAAATTTTGAATAGTGACCTAAAAGTTTTATTATATTAATTTTTTTTATGAAAAATTTAGAGAGTGAACTAGAAGTTTTATCTATTAAAGTTCACTATTTGTGATTTTTTTTTTTTAAATTGTTAAAGTTCACTATATTTTGTTTCAATATTTTTTTACTTCACTGTTTTTTATGTATATTTTTCAATTCAAATTTTTATTTGTAGTTCATTGTTTATGAAAATTTGAACAGTAAATTAGGAGTGTCATTCTATTGAAAGTTCATTGTTTGTGAAAATTTTGTAAACTAGGAATTTTATTCTATTAAAATTCATTGTTTTTAATTCACTATTTTTTAATATACATGTAGAAAGATGAAAGATAGAGGAGAGAAAAAGTAATTTATTCACAATGGTGGGCGACAGTGATGGTGGTGGTAGTGGGTGGTAATGGTGGTGGGGTATAAGTGATGGAGGGCGATGGTGGGTGGTGACAGCGGTGAATGGGTAGTGGTGGTAGTTTGGTGATGGGTAATGGTGGGTGGGGGAGGCGATGGTGGTAGGCAGTGGTGGCTGTTGTGGTTATGGTTGGTGATGGTTAGTGGCGATGCTAGTGGGTGATAGGCGGTGGTGATGGCGATGAGTAGTTGTGTTTTGCGGCAGTGATGATATTGGTTGTGGTGGGGAACAATGGGGGGTGGTTGTGGTGGGCGGTGATTGTGGTGGTGGGACAGCGGTGGCAGTGAGTGGTGATAGGGGAGGATAGCGAGTGGTGGTGCTGGGAGGAGGCAATTGGTGGCAGCGGGTAGTAGTGGGTGGTGGTGGGGTTGGGTATGGGGAGTGACGATGGTGGAGGTGGGTGGTGTCGACCGTTGTAATGCCCCGGTTTTTTTTTCGAATACGTTAATTAATATAAAAACACTCAAATAAAAATAAAATTGTGTTAATTGTCCCAATAAAATTTCATTTATCAAAATCATATCCCAATATAAATAAATATGTCAATATAAATAAATCTCTCAATACAAATAAAACATCAATTATATCGACATCTTCTCATCTTTAATACTCTGATTATCTTGTTTAGATCTTTTCTCTAAAATCAACCTAAAAGTATTAAATAAAGTGGGAAAGTATACAACATGACGAGGAAAAATATATTTAAGGACATTAATTACTGAATAATCGGGTATCACAAAGTATCTCAATCAACATATACAAAAATTATATTTGCATATTACATGTTATGCAAGATCTAAACAGATCTGACATCTTACCAATCATCTCACCTCACCCCAATTTCACGGGTCTCTTGGCTGACGATGCATCGCCTATTGGCTGCCACGATCTCGTCTCAATATTCACAGAACACAATCAATGAGATCAAAATATTCGACAATATTCAATCACAATTTCAAAAATAATGATATCACAATATGGAATACAAATCAGAGGATAGTTAAAAGAATACTCTTTGCAAAGAGATTTAAGGAGAGCATATTACATACCACCCCGTATCTTAAGGAATTTCACAAATTGAGCGACATCGTGTAAACTCTAAATCAAATACCCTAACTCTTTGTCATTATCTTGTCTACATTTTCCTTCTTCCTTTTTTTTTTCAACAATACTTCCACCCTTTTATGGAAAGCACGACACACAACTCAAATTAAGTATCACTCACCCACCACCCATCGACCAATTCTCTGTTTTTTTTTTTAATTTTTTATGTTTCTTTTTCAAAGTCATTCACGTGGGTAAAGACTAACAAACAAAAAAGTTACAAATACTTATACTTTGCTCCTCTTTATTTCACTTATTATATGTATCAACCACAAAACTTAAATATTATTTATACTTTCACCTCAAAACTATTAATATTTTACGCTTAAAATACTTCTAAAAATTTGGAATCTCACAACCGTGGTGGTGGCATTGGCTTTTGGGTAGGTGGCGTTGGGTGACCATAGTGGGTGGCGGTGGTGGGAGGTGATGATTGGTGACAATGGGTAGTGGTGGTAACGGACAGTGATGATGGTGGTGAGTAGTGGTGGTTTGTGGCGGCGTTGATGGTGGTGGTGGGCAACGATGGTGGACGATAGTGGTGGACGGTAGTGGATGAGTGTAGTGGTTGGCGACAATGGTGGCAGTGAGTGGTTGTGGTGGAGGGTAAGTGTAATGGTGGTGGTGAAAAATGGTAGTTGGTGGCAGTGGCGGTGGGATGATGTTATAACATCATAAAATATTGATGTCCATTGCAAATCGGCACTGTTACATACCTAAAATCATGATGGGCTGGGTTGAGTTGGATTACGGCCTTCTAAAAACTTTTGATTCATTATTTTACCTTTATAAAGAATTAAAAAAATCATTCTATCCTTCCACACTTAATACCTAAATTACGATCATATCCTTATGCATTTAAGTCTCCAAATTATATCTAAAATTATTTATAATTATATATTCTCTATGTATAAATGTCAATTTTTATGACACTTTTTGATTGATTATATTACTCTTAAAAAATATATGCATCATTATAAGTTTTAACAAAACATTCAAAAAAACTTTCAAAAATTACATCAATATGATATTATTCACCTCATTTATAAAAATAATATTATGACTACATATGTATATTTTATTTTGTCATCAAAATGTATAACCCTGTACGTATATTTTATTTTTCATAAAAAATGTTTAACCTTTCATTTTTATGATAAAAAATAATGTATATAAAATTTTACAAAATTTTTTAGTCACAGTAAAATTTTTATATTGTGTTAAGATTTTATGTGAATTTTATATTAAATTTTATCCTAATTTACCTAGATAATCCTAAATACATTAAGGTTCCAATATGATTGATATATTGATAATTATTTTTATTTTATTTAATGATTTATAAGTGGAATTTTAATCAAATTAATTTTTTAATCATCTATTATGTATTTATAAATGTCAATTTTTATGAAACTTTTTGACTTATTATATTACTCTTAAAAAAATATATGTATTATTAAATTTTAAAATATTCAAAAAAAACCTTCAAAATCTCCATCAATATAATATTACTAATTTCATTTATAAAGATAATATTTTGACTACATATGTATATTTTATTTTTTATCAAAATATTTAACCATTTTATTTTTAAGATAAAAATTATGTATATATGGTTTTACATGATTTTTTAGTGACAATATGATTTTATGTGAAAACTTGAATTTTTTTTTAAATTTTAATATGCTTTATAATATATATTATGGTGTTATATATTAAATTTCATCTCAATTGACCTAACTAATCCTAAATACTGTAAGAGTTCTAATACGATTGGTATATTAATAATTATTTTTTATTTTATTTAATGATTTATAAGGGGAATCTTAATAAAATCAATCTTAAAAAAAATTTAATTTTCAAACATCACTAAAAAATCACTTTCAATTACAAACTTATAGAAAAAAATAAAACTTTAATTATTTCTTTATTTTTTTTTTCATTTTTCATAAAGGTAGAATAACAAATCTTGAAAAAATATAAAATTTTCAAAAATTGTATAGTAGAATATGAGCGAAGAAAAAATAAGTTGGTAAATTTGAGATGATATTTAACTCAACTACTTATATACAAATATTTATTTATTAATTTTTAAAAAAAAATTAGTTATTTACAATTCACGTGGTGCATTACTAATTTGTCTAAAAATATATAACTCTTAAATTAAAATTATTAATATTAAAGTTAAAAAACCACATTTTTAGTTCTCAGTTTGTCTTAAATAGTCTTGGCTCGCACGTTATTCTCGTTCAATCCAATCCAAATTCAACCACTGAAATTACAAACAAAACCGAAAAGGATTTCCTCGTAGGTGTAGTCCGATAAAGTTAAAGTCGGGATTGGGGAAGGGCTTCTTTGTTGCGAGGATAAGTACTGCTGGGGAGAGAGAAAGATGAGTAACTCTCCAATTGCCGTGCATGAGGTTGGTTATGCATCTGAATCTCCTCCAGGAGAAGCACAGCACTGTCTGAAGAAACAGAAATTGGATGAGGAAAATCAGAACCAACATAAAAAAGGCAAACTCATACCCTATTATGATCCGGATGAATTGACAGAAGAAGAGGCTCAGAGGTACGCCAAACAGGTCCAAGAGAGCCACGTATAAACTGCTATTTATTTTTCTTTTGTTTTTTTAATTAATTAATTGTTTATCAATTTTCCCCTTTCTCTATCGTATCGTATAGGGCTTTGACGTTGAAAAATTTGGGAATAAGTGTCCGTTTGGGATTATTATGCCAATAGTGAACTTGCATAAAGGTCCCGTGATGCTTCAGGAAGTCGTCGTCTGTTCAATCTTAGCCATTGACACCTACAACATTGTCGATGTAAGCGCTTGCTTGTTTCTTTGCCAATTGAATTGTTGCATACACATTCTAGTCGTTTATTTTAAATGCGTTGGTTTTCAATCCTTTCTCAAATTGCAGGGTACAAACTACCAATTTACGGAAGTCATCAAAGTCAACACATATGTGTGCTCAGGGTTGATGTGTTTTATCACTTTCAAAGCCCAGCATGCTGCTGCTGAGGGAGATGATTCTCCTAAAATATTTCAAGCCCGGGTGCATCGTGGGATAACTGAAAACAAAGTCAAGTTATGTAGGCTGAAACCCAACTAGGGAGCATCTAGCAGTTAACCTCAAGGTAAGCTGAAACTCATGTATTAATTATTTAAAAGTTATATTTCGTTTATTCATTTTTTATTTGGAAGGCAGGCCTTTTTTTCCTTTTATTTTGTTCCCAATTTGTTGGTTCATACTCTATTGGTCAGTTGACAGGATAGATGATCAACAGATTTTCTGATATTTAAAAATTGTTTTGGTGGCTTGTGCAATTTCATATACGAGTTTGGGTTTATAGTGGTTGGTGGGGAAAGGGATGCAGTTGCAACATCCTGAGCCTTAACCTGTTTAATGAAGGATGAAGGACCACTAGAAATGATTATTTACTTAAGGGCTATGAAACACGGACACGGACACATAGTCAGATATAAAAAATCAGTATCTAATGTTTTTTATTATTATTTTAAATTTCGGTCGCGGACACTTTTGAGATACGGATTTCTCCTGCTAATTAGATAGCAAATACCTAGAACTAGAAACCACCTACCAACTGTCCCGAACCACTATCTTTCCACAAAAAATATATCATCATTTTTTAAGTTCTCGGGCACTATCAAAGATAAAATAAAATGTGACAATAGTATTAACTAGTTAGAATTGATTGCACAATAGTTAACCTCCACCCTTTGGATATGTAAGCTATCTTGTCATCTTTATCATTTTCCCTCTTTTTTCAATACTGAGTCCCAAAATGATAATGACCATGGATATTCACCCAAATATAATCCAGTGGCCACTTTTCCACTTTACACCATAGAAGTCCCACAACTTTGGAAAGTTAAAGTGCCTATCAAGGTGCAGATTTTTGTATGGACTGTAGCTCATGGAGATCTCAATCCTTGTGATTTATTACGAAGGAGAAGGCCGAACTCTTGTCTTTCTCCCAATTCGTGTGTGATGTGCAAAATATGGTGTGTAACTGTGGGTCATCTGTTTCTCCAATGCCCAGTGGGCAGTGGCCTCGATGATGTGGTATAACACACTCAGTTATTTCTCTGATCACAGTTATTTCATTAAGAATTTGTAAACGTTATCTTGTTTCTCTCCTTCCAGGTATTATAAATAGCGAAGGGAAGTGTTAGCCTCCCAATCATCCCAATCATCGTCAATAAGCCATTACCCCTTATATTCCTCTCGAAACAGTGAATAATCAACTTCCAATTCCCACTAGGCCATTAGCTATTACATTTCATTTGTAGTGTAATCCAGATCCTATGAATGAACGAACAATCCAAGAATAGGTTATAGGTGGCTACGAGTCTCAGTTTATTGCATGGAGAAGACATACAATCTCTAGTAGGGACAATATCAAAAGCAATAGGCTTTAATAGCAATCCACAATATAAAACTATACTTGGGAACCAAACTATTTCTGCCCATCGCTGTTGTTGTCCCTCATGTCTAAATAATTCCCATACAAACTTGAACTGTACAAGCTATTATCTGTTGGAAGCCACTGGATAGGATCCTCCATGCTGGGATCAAGTCTCCATATAGTGGGTATACCATTCCTCACCTTCCTCGTATTTTCACTCTGTGTGTGTGATACAAAAAGAATAGAAAATAAATATCAATTGTATATTGCTTTAGTGTGTGTTTCCTTGTACATAAGGATGTGTATTTAAATTACAAGAGAATAAAAAAGTATCCTAGTCTAACTGATGTGGGACAAAGATAAACATATATACATTTACACTGGATTCACAACACTACTAACCTTTGCCTCCCTACCAAGGCCAAACTCACTGATAATCCTTTCTCCTCTTATGTCGTAACTAACTCCCATAGGGTGCCACGGATCAAACCGCAAAAATATATTTCTTCCATTACCAACCCTATATCTAATATGTGGTAGGAATTCCTCTCTTAGGCTCATAATTCTCCGCCCAGGAAGAATTCTAAGGTTTCTTAATACTCCAAAAACTCCTTCCTCTAAGAAGATATGTACTAACCTAATCACTCCAAATAGAGTCAGCCTTTTTGACTGATAACAGACCAAAGTTGCTTAGAAATGGCTGTCTTATTCCAAAATTCTATGCATTTAGTCCCAAGGCCCCCTTCCTTCTTAGGTAAACATTCCACATCCCATGCAACCTTGGCCCCAATAGCTTTGAGATTAGGTCCAGACCACATAAATCACTTCATAAGTTCCTCGACTGTTTCAACAATTTTCTTTGGGAATGAAAACCTTTGAACTTCAAAGCTACTGATTCTTTTAGAAGGACTTTAATGAAGCCTGTACTGTCTTGTTATTTAGTTAGTTAAGCTATAACGGAGCATCTTAATAATTGGACAATTACACTTTTGACCAGTTTCTTCTGGGGCTTTTTGCACTTTACATTCCAAAATATAGGGATGACAGTGGATCGGATAAAAATTGGTATTCGTCAAAATCCGTCTCGTTTAGATTAGAGATGGACTATACGTATTAGACGGTGGACGTATACGGGGATACCCGTATAAACCCGTGCTAAAAAAAAGACAGAGATGGACTTACCCTTATCCCCGCCCCGCCCCCGTTATACCCGTTAAATGTATTAAATATATAAATATATATATATATGAAGGCGTTGAAGGATGTTACTGTTACACTTAATATCTTATGAACTGTTATTCCACCGGGAAGAGTGCCTCTAAAACAAGAGGAATACAGTTGGTGCTTGACTGCTAGTGGAAGGAAACCATCTTATTTATCTCACTTATCTTTGTATTAGTAATTATCAGTGCCTGAAAGCACTATATAACAAAACAAAATCGAAAGACATTGCTAATGCATGAATGCACAAAAATAAAAATCCCCAACTGTGCATGAAATAGAGTGACAACTGAATCGTGTCATATCATATTGTGTTATAGATATATTCTACTCCTCTTTGAGTACTTAATATGTTATTTATTTATTAGTTATTACCCGTACTTGAAGGTACTATATAACACAAAGGAAAAATCGCAAACAATTGCCCAAATTAAAAGGAATGACCTTAAAACATTCATGCTAATTTTTCTTTTAAAATGACTGAAATATATTATTGATCATTTCCTCCATAGTAGTGGAACTATCATAAAAATATACAAAAAACTTCCCAAAACAACACCACATATATAAATACCCAAAAAAAAAAACAAATATTAACAGAACCTAATAAAGTTTACAATCTTTAAGCAATAAATAAAATCAATAAAATATTGTTATTTTATAAAACTTGTAAATTTATCACCACGGCTACCATTCAACCTAATAACACAACATAATTATAAACTCAATCTCCAAATTTTCAATCCGCCCTATATAATAAATGCTTCAAGAAAAAACAAACAAATACTAACAGAACATAATTAAATTCACAATTTTTAAGGAATAAATAAAATCAACCAAATCTTGTTCACTTATAAAACTCATTAATTTATCGTCACTATCACCATTCAACCCCAATGACAATATAATTATAAATTCAATCATTAATGTCCAATCTCCCACATATAAATATACACAAAACACAGACTCACGCACATTTCTTTTTGGGTTATTGACAAACCCTCGTAACTTACAATGATTTTTGTTAAAAATACAACAATTCAAGCTTTTAAGATAAAATAGTAAGAAATGATCATGTATTAATGCAACTACAAATATCATCAATGAAAGACGTTAATACCATACCAAAACTATCAAAGTCACCTAAAAAGTTGATTGAAAGATGTTAATACCTTAGTTGTAAAATGTACAAACCACCATAAGTTTTTAATGAATCTAAGTATAAGAAATGCAAATAGAGAGATAAAGATATAATAGGATTGAATTCATAGTGATATAGTAAACTAATCAATTGTTGTGTGATATCAAAAGTTTAAAAATTGATACTAAATGTGCAAAATTCAGAAACTTAGTGCACAGACACTACATGTGCAAATGCAAATTCCAATAACGAATTTGTTTACTTTTTTAACACTTTTCAGACACTAATAAGTTTGTTTGCTCTGGAAACTTTTACAAATGCTCAAGATCATGAAATTAAAGCTACAATGGATATCGTGATTCTTTATATTTCTGAACCAATATGATCACTAAAACCCAAAAACATAGAACATCAATTCATGACCAAAAACTTTAATTGGAAAAGATGAAGAGATTCGCAGTAGCACCTAGGTGGGTTCATCCTCCTGATAAGCTTTGCATATTAATCATCCATTTCTAATTTTTTTTCAAACCACTGGTGAGCCCACTATTACATAACAATTAGCAAATGAGGAGTTGTAAAATGAGAACAATAATAAATAAGGAGCTCTTTATTCAAGTTATACAATCCAGCCCAAATAAAAATAAAATAATAAAAGGCACCCCAAAATGTATATCTTGCTTCTTGCACAATAACATTAATCTGTGCAAAAAATAAAAGGAATCAGAGGCTCTCCTCTTAGTCATCTTCCATCTCTATGTACCAAAAATAGCAAAATATAGAAAATAAGAGAGATCACTCACGTAAATTTGTACAGAAAATGACTACGAAAATTCATACCATTTTGCCTAGTACTTTCTTTCATCTCCTAATTGTAGAGATCTAAAACAAATAGTAAACAATCTGAGTGATTTACATCAATTGAAACTATCCATAAGTCATCCACTTTCGACCATGAAAATTCAAACCTCTTCTCCACTTTGGCAGGAACTTGGACTTATGACGAAGAAATCCAGACCTACGAAAAATCAATTCATCCAATGGCACCCATGAAAATCAAAGTCGATTAATAGAAAACCAAAAAAAAAAAAAAAAAAATCCCATGACAGGCAAAGGAAATAGACACGCACCGATATTAGTCTAGCTCCAATCCACATACGTTTGGGTGAGGGAAAAGGCAGCAACAAACGGCCAACACCAAATATTGGCACTACAAAAGAATGGCAAACCAAGCTCAATGGCCGAGGGTTCAACCCAGAGAGCAAAGATACCGGCCCCATTGAGAAAAAACCTCGAAGGCTCAAGTAATCGAAGCATGTCTGGCGCATTTCTTTCCTTGCTTGATCAGGTGAAGCACAAAACACTTTATACAGGGCACCTGCCAGTGAATTGATTGTGGACGCCACAGGCTGTGAATGAAAACATAAAAAAGCAGTGAGCTGCTAACAACTGTGATAAAGATCTAAGCAATAGAGAATATGCTCATTCCAGTCTCCAATTTTACTGCATCCTAGCATGTAGAATAGAACATAGAAAACTATCTGCTACAACAATACCCACCTTACGCAAAATGTAAAAGGATTCAAGATATTTGCAGAGTGTAGGTGCATGATTCAGGTCAATAAAAGGCTAGAGAAGATCTCGCAATACAACAATATCGGACAGCACCACCGTCATTCCTCCACCAGTTAAGGGATGGCGCATGTTGAATGCATCCCCCATTGGTAAAGCCCCTGGAGTTGGGTGAGGCGCAGCGGGCATGCTTCTGTTGGGCATTGTCCTAATGTTTCCTTTATCGATTGCGGCAATGAAACCATCATGCAACTCAGGAGGGACCTAACAAAGGCATGCAATTACAAATCAGTCTACCGTGCTACCAATTTAAGAAATGCATAACCTAAGAAACCACAGTACATGAAGGAGACAATTGTGACTCGAGCTTTTGTTTCTCGACTCTGTGGTATCTATCCATGCCTTTAAAAGTCCTAACACAAAGGGAGAGGAAAAAGCAAAGATGTATATAGAGGAAAACAATAATGCTAAACCTTAATTTGGAGAGAGAGAGAGAGAGAGAGAGAGAGAGAGAGAGAGAGAGAGAGAGAAAAGAGGAGGAGGAGGAGGAGGGAGATAGAGCATTACCCAAGAGTGGCGACTGTTGGATGGTGGACATAGTCATTGATGATTACACTGGTTGTAGTTGTAGTTGGCATAGTAGTCGCTGGTGGTTCAGTTCTTGGGCAACTGGTAGAGTTGAAAGAGAGATAAACGTATGTGAGAGAGAGGGACAGACGTGTGAGAGATATGTGAGAGAGGTATATGAGAGAGGTTAGTATGAGAAACATTGAGAATTATAGTATGTGATAAGGAGATAGAGTTAGACCTGATATAAGAGTCTTTTGTATCAGTTAGTATGAGATAAGGGGAAAATGTTAGATGAGAGATAGGAGTATTAGAAAAATATTGTGTTAGATTATATTAGATTATTTACAATGTTGTTGAATTATTTAAAATGTTGGATTTATTTAGAATTTTAGAATGAAAATTGGAAGTGAGTCCCCCTCGATGTACTTGTTTGAAGATAAATCATGTAAGGAAACTTATAAGAGGTTAAGTCCATGTTTAAAATTATATGTAGTGACTTAAGTCTACTTTTTTTTTAATCTCAAAAATATCCTTCATTGAAAGGAAATTAAATTAATTTCTTATTTTAGAAATTGTTATCCCTTAACTCAATGTCAATTAAAATATGTCAATAAAATTTTCATCATAAATTTAAAATTCAAATCCAAATCTCTCTCTCTCTATATATATATATATAGAGAGAGAGAGAGAGAGAAAGTTTTGAATTTGAATTTTTTACCAAATATTAATATTTAATGTTACTATTTTTTTTTAATATTACAATTTTTTGTATTTGAATGATACTATTTTTTGCGTTTAAATTTAAGAGAAATAATTATTGATAAGTATGTTACAGTTTTTGTAGCATGTTACTTGTTGTGATAATTGTTGAAATAATTATAAACCAAAGCCAAAGTTTTTTTTCTTTCAACAAGTAACAATTTCCCAATATATACTCTAGCATAATATTATTACTTTTATTTGATCTTGGGGTCAAATGTATGCTTCTAGTGGATTGACAATGCATCATATTCTATTCTAGAACCCGTTGCTAATCTACTGATAGCAATGCATTAGGGTCTCATACTAAATTCCAAACCAACGCCCAATAGCATTACACATGCGAGACAAACAACATGTGAAGGTTCAGAGTAATGATTGTTGAAAGATCCACAGGTGAAAATGGCAACCATCATCATGAATGTTTAAAGGAAGCTAAGTTTTGTAATAGAAGAAAGGATTTTTTTTTTTGTATTTTGCACCTCAAAAATATTTCAATTATCACTTCACACCCCGAAATATTATTTTTTTTATATTGCATCCTGAATATCATAAATTATTTTCAATGTGACCCTTTGACTAACATCCGTTTCAAATTCTGTTAAAAATTAATACACATATCACCTGATGGTGCTCAAAAATATTTAGCCCAAGGCCAAAACAAGGGGGTTGTGTGGATGTGTGAAACAACTAGGGATTAAGCCATGACGCCATGGTGCCCACGATCCTCAAGCGGATACACACACAAATATTCTTTTTGGCGGTGAGTGCACGTTCGTTAAGGGTTGCAGAGGTTGTCCCCTTGTCCCCCAGGACACGTGGCGTGACAAACAAGTCTGTCCAAACAAGTCCATATAGGGAGACCGGCCTCCAAAATTTCTAATTTTAGATTATGTTGGCTTGAACTTGGGCTTGGGCTTGGGCGGGTACGGGGGAAGCAAGGACGAGGATTAGAAATTTACCCATAAATGGGGATGGGAATGAAAATTATACCCGTTAACAGGGGTGGACCGGGAATGGACGAAAGTTTTTTAAACAGGTACGGGGATGAAGACTATACTCTCCTCCTCCGCTTCGGTCCACTGACATCCTTACCGAAATATGTCTCGATTCCCACTTTATAACCTAAAAGATTATTTTTTTCATATTGTACCATGAATGTCATAAATTAGTTTCAATGTGGTTCTCAAACTAACATCTATTTAGATTCCGTTAAAAATTAATGCACTTGTTATCCACGTGTACTCCTATTAGGCAAGAATATAAACTGATTATTCATATCCTTGGGTGGTGATAATGGTGGGATTTCGGTATGGGCCGCCCATCCAAAGTCCAGCATGACTAATGGGTCTTTGAGTGCATGACGGCCCAAACAGTTGCATCCTAGAAGAAGGAAGGCCAACGGCGCCTGGATTTATGAGTATCAGCTCGGCCTCCATCCAGCCCGACAGATATTCATCTTGAGATATTTTGGCTTTGGCTTATACTTGTTTATTAGATATTTTGAGCAGTTTTTGTTAAGTTGTTTCACTGGAAAAAAAAAATATATCCATAAAACCAAAACCAAAGCAAAAAATAAAATCTGATAAACCCACCGATTGCACAATACCCAGCGAACAACCAAAACTAAACTGACGTTCCCCATGCCCAATCTGGCTGCTGGTGATGACCCAACCGCCGGCCTTAACCTACCACCTGATCCTTCCCCTCTCGGCACACACACTTATACTGGCGGAGTTATCCACCACCCCACTGCCAGCGACTTACATCACGTTAAGGAAACTCGACCCATTTCTCAATCTGCCCATCCCATCATCAAATCTGGCCCATTTCCCATAACTAATACCATTCATCAACCTCCTCAAGCTAAACACCAAACTGGACAAAACCCAACACAACCTGGTGCTCCAAAACCAGTCATACCCACCACCCAAAATTTTTGGACCCAACCTCCCGGTTTCGGCCCCAACCCGACTCGACCACCAAAGTTATTCGTAGATGTTTTGAGGGGATTTGCCACCCTTTGCTCCAATGCACCCACTCGTTGAGTTCCCCGCCCCGTCACACAGTACAGGGGTGCCCCAATGGTTGACTTTTTCAGACGAGGAGATTGAGAGTCTCGCAGCTCCTTTCAGATTGGCCCTGGCGGGTAAGTTTACCCGAGGTCGCCCTCCGATGGAAATGATCAGGAGATTCTTGCAACTGATTGGATTAAGGGAGCATGTTAGTGCCTCTTTGTTAGATAGCCGACACGTGCTCCTGATGTGCGACCTTGAGGAGAATTACACCCGTCTCTGGGTGAAACAGGTTTGGTTAGTTTATGGCAGAGAGATGCACATGTTTAAGTGGACTCCACAGTTTCGTTGTATCGAGGAGTCACCTATAGTTCCTATTTGGGTTTCATTCCCATATTTACCAGTACACTTTGTGCACTTCCAGGATACATTATTCTCGATAGCCTCGGCAATTGGGACACCTTTACGAGTTGATTAGGCCACAACGAGTTTGAGTAGGCCTTCAGTTGCCAGGGTGTTGGTTAAGTATGATGTCACATGGCGGCAGGTGCCGAGGATTAGGATAGGCAGACAGGAGACCAGATTTTGGCAGGATGTGCTTTACGAGGATGTACTGCAGTATTGTATTGGGTGTCGACATTTATGCCATTTCGTGGAGACTTGCATCACCCACTCCCAGCCCCAAGAGGAGGTCAGTGGAGACCGGCCACAGTAAGGTCGAGGTGATGGCCAGCAGAGGACTAGACAACAGGAGGGTATTCAGAGAGCCCCAGCTCTTATTGTTCCTCCTAGGAATACTGAACAAGTTAGAGTATCCTCTGGAAGAGTGACAGATGTTGTTACCTTTGTTCCTCTCTCTAGGGCCATAGTTGCTACTATTGTGGAGTCTACTTCAATAGCTCCTGTCCAGGTTGTTGTTGAGCCACATATTATGGGTGAGCTTGTGGTTATGGGTAGTTTGGATATTATCCTTGCTAGTGTTGTGCAGGAGTATAGTTTGTTCCCCGATCATTCAATTGACACAGTTTTTAAGCTTGTACATGATGGACCTGTGACTACCCCAGCCATTCGTCTAACTATTAGTGAGCTTTGAGGGTTTAGAGTCCCCCGGTTGTGTCAGTTTCTAAGGATATTAGATTGAGGTGTAGAGATAAGGGTGTTGGGGCTTCTAGTCAGCCCACTGATTGTACCACCTCGACTGAAATTACTCTCAACCTTGGATTGTATGTTGGGGTTAAAAGACACTTTACTGGAGATCTATCATCTGATGAGTCCTTGAGTGGTGATGTTGGATCCTTTTTTGACCCGCAAGAGGGTCATTCTCAACTTGGAGGAGCTTTAGTGCCTTATGATGCTTCATAGTCCGATTGGCAGGTCCCATTGCGTAGTTCTCAGCGTATTGGTAAGAGAGGTCGAGTAGGCAGAGGTGGTAGGTCTGGCTGAGAGACACTTAGTGTGGTTCTTCCACTCCATTCTAATGATTAGTACGCTTATATAGAATATCAGAGGGATCAGCCAGGCCTCTTCGATTAGAAGGCTCAAGAAGCTGATCTGCTCACACCACTTATCAATGTTCTGTATTTTGGAGCCTTTTGTTGACCGGGATCGATTGGAGTTTTTTCAGATACGTTTGCACATGGAGCACATTTTTTGCTCTATTTCGAGGAATATTTGGATCTTTTGGTCTTCCCTTTTCAGTTGAAGGTTCTTTAGGACAATGGTCAGGTTGTTCACTGCCAGGTGCGACATTCTTCTTTACCGAATCCAGTTTTTATTTCTTTTGTATATGCCAGTTGCGTAGCTTCTATTTGGCAGGGTTTGTGGGATTCCTTGACACAGTTTGGG